TGCAGGAAAGAAGGAGTGCGAGACTCATGGCCTGTCATTAAGCTGTCAACTGACAAGATGGATAAGTAGTTTCAGGAGGACTGCCAAGGAATTGGCTGGGAATGTAGCTTGTTAAAACTTGGCTATGAAATCAGCTGGGAGAAACAGCAGTTTCGTGGACACAACAAGTATACATTGTTACTGAACCACTGGCCTTGTTGTTACCAGACCACTGGAACCCTGACCTATTGGCTTTTCTGAAACCCCTGACCTTGGACTGGACTTGGACCTGCTGCCTGGATCGCTTGACCCTAGACTGGAGTTGGCATACCTGCTCATTGGAACCCCTAACTTTTGGACTGGACCCTGGTTACTCTTGCCTGTGACCTTGCCTATGACCTGCCCTGTTGCTGAACCCCAGCTCTTCTCTCCTGGGAGGGAAGTACCAGGACAATTATAATCAACCATGTCAAATGCTGTTTTTAGGTTGAGTAGCAACAGCAGCACTGACCCACCTCGATCCAGATACCTCTGAAGGTCATCCGTGTGGGTGACCAGCACAGTCTCCATCTCATAGCCTGAAATGGATCCAGGATGGAGGAGTAACTTAGGAATCCCTGGGGCTGCTCAGCAACTGCCCTCTCAACCACTTTACCCAGTAGTTGACAAGGGCTGTAGGGTCCACAGATAGCTTTTTCAGAAGTGGTCTTACCATTGCCTCTTTCAGATACCCTGGGAACATCCCTGATGTTAGGGATAGGTTGATAATTTCTTCCAAAGGAGTCTGGACCTCATCTCCACAGGCTTTAACAAGACAAGATGCACATGGATCCAGGAGGCAAGTGGTGGGCTTCACAGTTGTCAGGGTCCTGTCGACCTTCTCCTGGGAGAGTTGGCTGAATCAGTCCACAACAGGACCAGAAAATGGCCAAAGGGCTTCCAGTTCACTTATTGTTTCAACTGTGGCCAGCAGGCTGTGACAGAGTGACATGACTTTATCTGCAAAATAGCTCGCAAATGCCTTACATAAGAACATAAGAAAGGCCAATGTTGGATCAGACCAATGGCCCATCCAGTCCAACACTCTGTCACACAGTGGCCAAAAATACCAGGTGCCATCAGGAGGTTTACCAGTGGGGCCAGGACACTAGAAACCCTCCCATTGTTGCCCCCCCCGCACCAAGAATACAGTGCATCACTTTCCCCAGACTGAGAGTTCCTATCTACTTTGTGGCTAATAGCCACTGATTGACCTCTGCTCCATGTGTTTATCCAATTCCCTCTTGAAGCCATCCATGCTTGTTGCCTCCACCACCTCCTATGGCAGTGAATTCCATGTGTTAATCACTCTTTGGGTGAAGAAGTGCTTCCTTTTATCTGTTCTAACCTGACTGCTGAGCAATTTCATGGAGTGCCCACGAGTTCTTGTATTGTGAGAAAGGGAGAAAAGTACTGATCTCTCTACCTGCTCTATCCTGTGCATAATCTTGTAAACCCCTATCATGTCACCCCTCAGTTGAAATTTCTTCAAGCTAAAGAGCCCCAAGCGCTTTAACCTTTCTTCATAGAGAAAGTGTTCCAACCCTTTGATCATTCTAGTTGCCCTTTTCTGTACTTTTTTCAATGCTATAATAATTTGAGAGTCAGTTTGGTGTAGTGGTTAAGTGTGCGGACTCTAATCTGGGAGAACCGGGTTTGATTCCCCATTTCTCCACTTGCACCTGCTGGATGACCTTGGGCAAGCCACAGTTCTGGCACAGCTGTTCTTGAAAAAGAGCAGTTTCTGTCAGAGCTCTCTCAGCCCCACCTACCTCACAGGGTGTCTGTTGTGGGGAGGGGAAGGAGTTTGTAAGCCGCTCTGAGACTCCCTTGGGTAGTGAAGGGCGGGATATAAATCCAATCTCTTCTTCTTCATCATCCTTTCTGAGGTGTGGTGACCAGAATTGCACACAGTATTCCAAATGAGGTCGCACCATCGATTAATACAGGGACATTATGATACTGGCTAATTTGTTTTCAATTCCCTTCCTAATAATCCCCAGCATAGTGTTGGTCTTTTTTTATTCCAGTTGCACACTGTCTTGACATTTTCAGTGAGTTATTTACTATGACTCCAAGATCTCTCTCTTGGTCAGTCTCTGCCAGTTTGGACACCATCAGGGTGTATTTATAGTTAGGATTTTTGGCCCCAATGTGCATCACTTTGCACTTGACCATGTTGAACCCCATTTACCATGTTGATGCCCACTCGCTCATCCTTGACAGATCCCTTTGGAGTGCCTCACAATCCTCCCTGGTTTTCACCACCCTGAACAATTTTGTGTCATCCGCAAATAGCCAATAGCCAATTCCTTATCCTTTTGTTTCCCTTGCAGTAGGGAAGTTAATGAACTAATTGTTCTAAATAATTGGGCTGGGCAAGAGCTAGCAGAAGCAATGGAGCCTGCATAGAACTTCTTAGGGGCCTTAATTGCCATTTCATAGGCTTTCATAAACATCCTATAAGATGTTCTTTCAGCTTCATTATGAGTATACTGCCACCCTCACTGTGTCTTAGCTCTTCCTTCATCCTCTGCAGCTCTAAGGTATACCACGGAGCTGGTTTGGTGCTGAGAGCAAAGAGGATGCTGGGAATGAATTTTGTCGATGGCTTCTGAGAGCTGGCCATGCCAGTCCTCCACCAGCTCATCCAACAAAGTGCCAGGGGGCATTGGATCTTACAGGACATTCTAGAAACCAAGTGGATCCATTAAACTTCATGGGCAAGCATCAATCAGTCTCACCCTCCCATACTCAGTTCTCGGTCATGCATACCAGGTCCACATTTTGACCCACAAGATATTCCTGCAAAGTCAACGTGTTATTGCTGATAGACCCGGCATTACACAACATCAGTGTTGGAGAAGGGTAAACAGTCCTAGCCCCACTACCAGCATCATTTGGGATGGGGCAAAGGTTGGGGGGAAAGAGCATAACCATATCTCCATCTCCTTCCCTTGTAAGACCTTGCCCCACCATAACACCTCCCTCACCCCACAAGCACCAGACTCCCCGACCCCATCATGGCCTTTTCTGCTAAGGCCTCCATGTCTAGATCTAATCACACCTAGCAGCAGTCACAGTTAGGAAAACCTCACTACCCTACCCAGAGGAATACAATTTAGAAGAAATCTCTAATCAAAGAGGAGTTCCCTCCCATCCAGACCTCCCTTCCTACTCCCACCCTCCTCCACAGTAAGAAAAATCACCAGAATCTAATACTAAGAAATCAGTGGATAGTGGTACTAAAGCCGATCAACCCTCTAGTTAGCCCTAATAATAATCCAATTTCAGATGCCACAGAAAATACTAAAATTCCACTTACAAACCATAATTCACCAATAACAGATTAAGTCTGCAAGCAGTGCACAATCAAATCAAATTTAAACTCCTAACAAACCCCCTTCCCACCCAGACCTCCCTTCTTACTACTCCAACTCCCACTAGTAAGCCAGAACTTTTAGGACTACCTAGATGTTGTGTATGCTGGCCGCCACAAGGGGCCAGCAATGACCCAGGGCTTGACCCTGGGTGGACAATGGAAACCAGGCTCTTGGTCTCTCCAATAGGAGCCAAGGGAAAGGAGGAGGGAAATTCAAACCTCCCAATGGGATCCAGGGGTGTCCCCTGGATATGTATATAGTTGGCCTGCTGGCCGTTTGTCTTTGTCTTAGTTGTGTAAGAGTCAAGCGTGCACCATGTTATGGGAGCGGAGTAGGCCTAGCCACGCGGTCAATGTACTTTCCCCAAGACTACCTTGGGGAAAGAACATATCCAGAAATGGCTTTTAATGTGAAATTGGAATATGCAGTTAGCCAGCCCAATTCTCCTGGTTTGAAAAACAAATGGTAATTACATGGCAGGCACACAATCTCAATCAACGACTGGGTGAAGTGACACCAGCTTCTCTCCTCACTCTTCTTCATTCTTACCTTACATGCAGATGGATAGGCATGGGCAATACCTCCCTTTTAGGGGGATCTCAGTATCTTTACATTTTTATCCCACCTGCCATCTAAAGAGTTCAAGCTGGCATATATGGCACCTCTGCATTTTCCCTTATAAACCCTATGAGGTTCATCAAGGTGAGAGAGAGAGACTGATGGGATTTCACAGTAGACCCAGATCTCCTATGTCTTAATCCAGCATGCTAACCAGTACTCAGCACTGTTTCTGATGGTGGGTATTTTTAACATTTCCTGTTCCAGCTACATCCAGCAGCAGTACTTAGTACATGAAACTGTGGTTCACCCAGCTGCTGCTATGTCAGTCCCAGAGAAGGAAGCTAGGCCACTACTTAATTTATAGAAGAAGAAGGTCCCAGGAAAGGGTCTGTCAGGAAGTTTCACCATCGATCTGATTGGGAAGCCCCTCCTTCCTGGTGTGCAGTGGGGACTCTCCAAACACATTCCGCGATGAATACACTCTTTTTCTCCCGGTTCACAGCTTCCCGGTTACTTCAGGGGCTGTGGGGCTTGGACTGTGGTACGGTGTAAATCCAGTTCTGGGCCAGACCGGGGGGGGGGTGTGTGTCTCTTCCTGAATCCACTTTTTCGACCTAGTTGTTTGAAAACCATAGACCTCTGTAACCAGCAGCTTTTGAGGAATCCTGTTGCAGGTAGTCGACCTGGTCCAAAGCAAAATCTTAACACAAAAGCCACAAAATACCTTTCACTCAGACCAGCCCAAATGACACAAAACTGTGTGCGAGCTTCGAAAACTCTATGTCGTCTCATGCCGTTTCTCGCTGAACGGCACAACGAGGCTTTTGTTACCCACCCTTGTACCGAAAGCTTCCACGCTCTTTCACAAACAGACGCGGACGACACAAAAGCAAGAGGAATTGCCCGCTGGCTCTTTCCACGCTGCATCAAGCGCCGCTAGCAAAGCCCCTCACTCTCGCCGGGCCCCGCCTCCTCCAGACCAGAGCGGGCCAGCCCAGCCGCGCTCTCCACCTTCACGCGCTGCTCGGCCACGAGGAGGTGCGGCCAGACGGGCCGGGTCAGGCGGGGAGAATTGTTTGCCGAGCTCGAGTGCCCAGCTAGGGACTTTTCCCTCCGATTAGGATCCAGCCCCGTCACATCCGTTGCAAGGCCGCTCTGGTGGGGCTCGGGAAGTTTCTTGGCAATTGTTTGCCAAAGGCGGCGGCGGAGGAGGACGGTGGCGAGAGGCATTCCATTCCAGGACGCTGCTCTGCGACCGAGGCGAAAGTTTCCTCGCTCGCTCTTGAGGCAGTGGGCGCAGAATGCAAGGAGGAGCCGATCCCGGGAAGGCGACATGAAGCCGGGCGCCCTTCTCCTCCGCGGCTGCTCCGGGAAACGGGGTGCAGCAGCCAGTTGGCGGCGGTGCCTTTCCTGCCGGGAGGCCGGAGTTTAGGCGCTGGGCGCCGCCACCGCCGGGATGGGCCAGGCGCGGGCGGCGTGCTGCCTCCTGCTCCTCGCCGCCGTCGCCTCCGGGCGCTGCGGGGCTCGCTTCGTCTTCCCCCTCCGAGTGTCTCCCGCCGTCGCCCCCAACGGCTCCCTCGTTCCCACGCCCGTGCTGCTGAAGCCGGCGGGCAGGGCTGGGGCCAGCCAAGAGGCCGGCAGCTTAGCCTTAGCCGCGGAGTCGGGCGGCGCCGTCAACTTCGTGGCCATGGTGGACAACCTGCAGGGAGACTCGGGACGCGGCTACTACCTTGAGATGCTCCTGGGAACCCCGCCGCAAAAGGTAGGAACAGCCCCAGGTCGTGGGTCATGGGAGGAGGGGGGAAGGCGTGTGGAGAGAAGGTGGGAGAGAGTGCAAAAGATCGGAGGGCTCCAGCACTGGAGGGGGAGGTGTTGTACTCGACCGCCGAGGATCATCAAGGTAACAGAAGAGTAGATTTGCCTCCCTCATCCAGGCTTCTTCGTCTCATGTTATGGGCGTGAGCGCCGAGCGGGGTGCAGCCCTGCAAAATACAACCCTGGAAGGGGCAGAGCTTTGCTGGGTTAGAGTCCCAGGGGTCTAGTCCAGTGTCCCTTTGCTTGACCACCACCGCATGCTTAGGAAGAAGAGCCTTCTGTTCGTTCCCTTCTCCTGTCAGTTGCAGACTTATTCTCTTCCCCCCCCCCCCAAAAAAAGCAGACAACTCACCGGTTCCCCAGTAGCCCGTTGCAGATGTTCTTGTAGTGGGTATAATGAAAGGGGGGCCCGGTTTGATTCTGTGCACAAGGTTTTATAGAGATCAAGGAGGGAATCTGCTGGCAGACGCTTCCTGCCTCCAAGTAGTAACTGTCTTCACTTTGAAAATGTCTTGAGGTTGTTTGTTACAACTTAATCAAAGTAAAATTATGAATGAAGGTTCCTACTCTTCTTTGAAGGGATGCACGAACTCCTGCTTCCTTTTGTCTGTCTAGGAGCCACTGGGCCCAGAAATCTCTTTTAGGTTTGAACAATATAGAGATGAAGTCAGTGTCTGAGAATAGCACCTATAAGTGTGCCTTTCCAGCGAATGCTGTTCGGATCACAAGGCAGTACTTTTAAATGATGTAGCACTTCTTGCTGTTGCTCATTTTTCTCACTCTGCAAATGTTAAGTGTTTTTCTGCCCTCTCATAGTAAGGCCACCATATGGACTTCTGTTCCCAGACTACTTTTCCCTTGCGTGGTCATGGGTAGGTTCTCCTGTAGTATTCACATTTGCACAAAAATAGGGTTTGTGGCTTGAGTTCTTAAAGGCTAAGGGAGGCTCAAGTAGTTGCTAGTGGTTCATCCCTGGCCATTCGTCTATTTCTAAGTCTGGGCAGGCCATTATTCTGACTGTAGGTGCATTATAGTCTATATTCCCATTCCATCCGGTACAGGTTGGAGTTCCATTTGCGTGGATGTTGTGTGGGTTTGAAACCTGCTCCAAAGGTGTGCTATACCTGTAGATTGCATTTTTACACCAGCTCTTTTTCAGTTGTGTGGACTGATATTGTTGGAAGCCAACAGACCATTATCCTGAATTTAAAGAGGTTTTCTAAAGATTGTGGAAGTAATGCACATACAGGACTTTGGATAAATACTGAATGGCAGTGTTACTTTATGAGCGGCATTTTGTTCCTTCCTGTCCTACTCTTGTGGACTGTAGCGCAGTCGTGGACCCTTACCTGCTGCATTGCAAGCCCTGTACAGCTGCCTAGTTTTTTGGCTGCATTTTGGAAGAACAGTCTGCTAGTGCAAAGCCTCCTGCCTTGGTTTGCTTCCATGCTGGAAGCAGGATGGTGAGGCAAGTTCACTCAGCAGCAGAGAGGATTCCTTTTCAGCACAGGCACTCGGATGATGGTGTTGATTACTGTAGTGTCATGTGACTCTCTGCCATGTGCTTGCGCCTCATTGGATCCCACATTGCCCCCGGGTTTAAAAGTGGAACAGGGGTATGGAAAAGGGGAAATCTACTGCCTTAGCCTGCCTCGTGAGGTCTGGAAGGCCCCCACACTTTTACTGTTCCACAGAATCTGTAAAACAGGGCTGTTCAGAAGGGTAGTTTTATGAAGAGTTGTGGTTTTAATGTCTTCAAAAACAGTAGGCAGTTTTTATTGTACTGTTTATTGTATTATACTGTTTTTATTGCATTGTCTTCTGGTTTTCTAATCTGCTTGAGTCTCAGTAGGAAAGGTGGTCTATATCTCTAGTAAAGAAAGGATGAAAGAAAATGTCATTAGCACGTTTAGCCTTGGTCCTTCCCATTGCCGTTAATCCACCCAGCCCTGTGACTAAGGGAAGGATGAACTGTACCCTTCTTTTTTTATGCAGTAGAAAAGAACAAAAGTCCAGTAGCACCTTAAAGACTTAACAAAATTTGTGGCAGGGTATGAGGCTATTTTGAGTCACTGCTCACTTCTTCAGATCTGAGATGTGAGCAGTGTCTCACAAAAGTTCACACCCTGCCACAGAAGTTGTTAGTCTTTAAGGTGCTACTGGACTCTTGTTCTTTTCTACTGCTACAGACAAACATGACTACCCATCTTGATCTATCTTCTTTTTTACATGTTGTATATGCTATTTGCTTCTTTGCTTTGGGGAGCCAACTGTGAAGGGGTCCAGAAACTCCTGCTTTAGGGGTTATGGAATGCAAACTAAGCAAAGCAGACAAGCTAGCTGTTTAGATAAAGTACATCTGTCATCTTTACCCCTTCAGACGAACTTTTTCAGATACACGGATGTAACATTTTAGTATCTGAATGATGTGGTTGGCCAGTGCATAAACACTTTTAATATATAAACATTTGGCCAAGCAGTTTTCTGAAATAGTAATCATGACAATATACAGCTTTGCCTGACTACTGAAGTTAAGTTGCAAGTCTCTAAATGAAAACAGAAAGACTAGGTGAGTGCAGCGCGATAGATCAGTGAATCTGTTCTGCCATGATAAGTAGTAAACTTTTGAATTCCTTACTGCACTTGCTAGCTACATACAGAAATGTGTATCCAGCAGTAGTTACAGCTTGCTTAAATGTGAGCATAGCTTTCTGAGCATTGCCTAAGCAGGAGGGACTCCTCTGAGGTCATTCTCTCTGTGCTTTCTGCTGCCATTCAGTTTCTTGCACAATGATCTGATGGGAAGAGAGGAGGGCATAATAGCAGGAAAAAACAGTATACACATTATTTTACACCAATAAAGTTTAGGTTGTATCTTCAGTACCTTCAGTTCCTAGAAAAACTGCTTGGAGCATTGTAGAAGTTTTAAATTTTATAATATCATGAAACCAGGAGAAAAGCCTTTTTTGTTGTTGTTCAGTCGCACAGTCGAGTCCGACTCTTTGCGACCCCATGGACCAGATCCCGCCAGGCCTTCCTGTCTTCCGCCGTCCTCTGAAGTTTGCTCAATTTCATGTTCGTTGCATCTATGACACTGTCTAACCATCTCATCCTTTGTTTGTTGCTTTTTATGATTATGCTTATGATTATCCTACCTTCCAAGGACATCATTGTCTTCACCACTTTATCCTTGCAACAGCCTTGTATGGTAGGCCAGGCTGAGAGAAGAGTGACTGGCCCAAGGCTAGCCAGTGAGTTCCATAGCCAAGGGGGTCTCCCTGAGCTCACTCTGCTACAACACACAGGCTCTCCTACATTCACTTTCACTCGTATACTCTGCATTGAGATTTAGCAGAGTGTCGGGTTGCAATCATGGCTTGACAGGTGCTGAGGTATGAACCAGACAGTTTAGGCCAGGGGTCCTCAAACTACGGCCCGCGGGCCACATGCGGCCTGCTGAAAACATTTATCCGGCCCGCCGGCAGGGCCAGCTCACCTAGGGTGCGCTGGCCCTCAGGGGCGCCAAACTGCAGATATGTGCAGTGTGCATAGGAATTTGTTCATAGTTTTTTTTAAAAAAACTATAGTCCGGCCCTCCAACGGTCTGAGGGACAGTGAACTGGCCCCCTGTTTAAAAAGTTTGAGGACCTCTGGTTTAGGCATTAACTAGTGAGACTTTGGAAACATGAAACTGGTTTAGATTTGTGACATAAATGTGCCTTTACAATTCCGACCTGGCCAGACTACATGAGGATTTATAAGTTATGCATTTAAACAAACGCTGGCACTAAATACAGGTTTGAGGGCTTTAACTTGATCCCATTCTGCAAACAGAACAATTGTTTTCTCTTTGGTAAAGTGAGACTATTTTAAAAAATTATTCTGTAGCCAGATCAGGTGGGCAAAGCTGGGAAAACAGAGTGAATTGAAAAGGTTTAAGAAGGGGAGCAAGGTTCAGCTTCCATATAATGCAGTCATTTCCTGTTCTTTTAGTGTTTTGGCTTGAGATGGGAAAAGAACAAAATTCACAGCAATGTGTAATTCTCTGTCATTATCCACGTAAACAGTGTTAGTGGGATCTGAAAACAATATATTACTGATTTCTTTTCATTCACCTCTGTAATTCTAGTGATGTTCTTCAAAGAGTGAAAATGGCAGGAATATACTAAACAGAGCCATCTTGAGTAGAGTTGCACCCTTCAGTGGGCTTAGAAGGGTGTAATTCTGAGGACAGCACTGTGAATTTATTGGACTCTTGTAATTCACTTTGGCTTGGTCTATACATGCAGCAGATTGAGGAGAAATAGTGGACTGTAACTACTTTAGACTGCATGTGGGGGATACAATTTTGAATGCTCCCCATGTGTAAAACTCCTTACACGCCAAAAGTTATTATGCCAGAGAGAAAGATTCTCCCTGTAATGTTATATTTTCAGTTAGCTTTTATATAGGGGAGTATTAAAAAAAATGATCCAGTCCCTGCCACCTGAGCAGCTACAGTCCATTTTCTCTCCTCAAAACTTTGCCATCTCATTCTGCTCCATGTGTTGACCAGACCTTTTTTCTAAATGCTTAGCATTTATATAGAACTTTCAAAGTGTTCACAACTCAGAAACACTTAATATTCTCAGTAATATTTCATACATGTGTGCTGTCATGTCACAACAGACTGGTGGTGATGCTAGCAAGGGGCTTTCAAGGTAAGTGAGAAGCAGAGGTGGTTTGCCAGTGCCTTCCTCTGTGGAGTCTTCCTTGGTGGTCTCCCTCCATATACCAACCCTGATTAGCTTCCAGGATCCTACAAGACTAGGCCATACCATGCATCCTTCCCTCCCTCAGTAATACTTGGAACAGTATTATTGGCTTGGTTCCTAAACAGCAGCTTAGGTGGAGTCACAGTTGATGAAGGCAACTTCTCCACCTCCCAGATCAGCCTTCTCCCCACCC